GGAAGGTTGTCCCGTCTAGTCCCTTGCCCAAGATAGGAAGTTCTCAGTAAACTCACTATTGCAATCAAAACACTACAACCTTTGATTTCCATGAAAGCAAATTTGGAAGAGCAGAGCTTCTCCCCTCACAACTCTTTTTGGTTTAGGAAGCTAGATGGGGAAGAATCCTTACTGTAAACATCAAAAGGAAAAGAGAAATATCATTGCCAACAGCTATCCTTTGTGTCTCAATGAGTATTAATCCTCAAACCAAACAGCCATCAAAGTACGAGTATAATATCACTAGCAAAATATGAACTTGACTCTAAGCATAATTGATAGCTCAGTAAACATCCTATTTAGTTTTCTAAAACCTAAATATCTTAAATTACTGGATTCAGCAAATTAACTGCATTTTAAATTTCCTAGACTTTAATATTCTAAATAATCAATTTATCTAAGAATAAACAAAATATTAACGTTACATGGCAAGCCACTTCTGATGGTGTACAACTTTTTTGCAGCATAGCGTTGCAAATCTGTTCCCATTTAGAAATACTGCCAAAAATAAGTCAAATCTACATTATTACTTTACGATATAAGTCTGATGACTTCCTTTCAAAATTACTTGTAGTTAGGGAAAGTTATGCGATACAAGTGAAATAAATGTGCTAATATCTTTGTGGATATAGTAATCATATATACTAGGGCTCATATGTTTTGATATATTTTATGTTTTTCTTTAATATTTGGCTTATTGATTAAATATTAACAGCTCTAGAATTTAAAGACTATTTATGAAATTCATTAGTTTCTATTACAGTTTAATTTTCTGTTGTGATGTTAGGTATTTTTTCTCTTCAATGTACAAGTGGTGCCAACACACAGAGCACCTGCAGAATGCACTTCTAGACCGTTCGATGATTGTTTGAATAGTCCAAAAATTTCATAGTTAATTTTCAAGATATGAGATATGTGCTTCGGTTTTTCCCTTTTTTTTCTTTTTCCTACATTGGTTTTCTTCTTTTTTTTTTTTTAGCTGAAAGGACCCACTTTCGTCTTTTTTGCACTGCAGAAAAATAGTGGTATTCATAGTTCTACTTAACATGGGAGTATATTGAGTTTGTTGCATAAAATGTCCGCATGAAAAGCTCTGAAACATTGTTAACTTACATTAATTTTTCGTTTTATTTCTCTTTCTTTTGCATATTAAATTTTCTCTTCGTCTTCCTGAACTTTTAGGTGGCTGCTCTTGGAGAAGGTGTATCCTTGGAAGCTAAACTATTGAGCAGGTAAGTTTTTATTCTAGACGCTGTAGTTTCTCCTTGCCTTCACTCCACTTCTTTTGCTGCTTGTGTCTTGATTTTTCATTATAATTTTATTGTCTTAACATTTGCAGAAAAGAAGCTGCATTGCGACAAAGAGAGGTACTTTGGGAATGTGATTTGTGCTTCCTGTGGATGTTTAATAAAACCTGTGAACAAATTAAAGTTTGCCTTTTTTTTGTTGCTATTATCCACTGTTTGGATAAAAAGGATGTTACTTTTTTCTAATATGGTGGAGTAGTCCACTTTTTTCATTGTAAGGCTAAAATGAAGTGGTAATTGCCATTTTGACAGGCTGCCCTTAAGAATGTTAAACAAAACAAGGATGTTGTGGATAAGGAAACTGCATCTCTCCGGTCTGAAGTCGAGGTGAGTCTGTACTGTGTAGTCCTCATAGTTACTTTTGTCCTTCCTAATTTATTTATAGTTTTTGCAACAGTCTTTTCCTGCTGGAAAGCATTTTAACCTATCTAATTGCTTGCATGACTAAGAATGCGAAAGATAAGTCTGCGGCTATCATACAGAAGCTTCATGGAGCTGAATCTGAAGTCAAAGCCCTTCGTACAATGACACAGAGAATGATATTGACACAAAAGGAGATGGTTTGTGATTGCTCTTACATTGTTGTAGATGTATATTTAGCAGCCATTAGCACTTTAGTTATTTAAATTTATCTGCTTTTTAGGAAGAAGTTGTTCTCAAGAGGTGTTGGCTTGCTCGCTACTGGGGACTAGCTACCAAATATGGTAACCGTTGGCTTATATAAGCTTTTATTTGTTGTAGAATCTTCTATTGTTTTGTTTTAAATTTGACTCATTATTGTTAATAAAACACCTTCCTATGTTTATAGTTAAGCTATGTAACACCTGAGCTTGGAAATTAGGATCGGGATAATCAAAATTATATTAAAAAATATATATTTATTCCAAATTGTTAATAACGGCTCAAAATTTAATTGAATGGTAATATTGAATTAATAAAGTATTAACAGAAGTAATTAAGAATTTAGAATTTATATTTATTGTATAGTTTAATCAGAATACTTAATAGGGTTACGAGAATATCCCTTGAAAGAAATTAAAATAACAGAAAGAAAAATGCAACTAAAAACCTATAGGATCGACCTCCGCAGTACAATTGGTGGAAAACGGGAGACAACCTTTAATCGCTAACTTTTTTACTGTTCAGGATCCAAATTTTGGTCGTTCTAATATAAAATTATTAAATAAGGGGAATAAGTTACATTAACTCAGTAAGAATATCAATACTTTACAACTGATATGGAAAATCAAAAGTTGGTAAAAATCGCAAAACAACCAATTGAGTTATTTTCTTTTTAGGTAAATTTATTTAATTTTTTTTAAAAAATATTAGTTTATACTCACCTTTTAGGTTCTCAAATACGACTTGTGGAGGGAAGAATCACAATAGTAATCCATTAGGTATTCTAAGAAATAATAATAATTAAATTTTACCTTTTTACTCACTTAACAGTGTCTCTGGGGTCCATAGGGGTTCCCACTACACGTGGATCTAATATCCAATCTCTTAATTAACTAACCGCCCTTATACTCTGTCTGGTAATGGGCACCAAACGTATTATTGCCTTAATACCCCATTCGGTAATGAAGGTGAACAAGTGCTTCTCAACCCTTTCCGGTATGTGACTTCTCAGCTCTGTTCGACTGAAGTAATGTTTATGGTAGAGTTTGTCTTATGTATCGGGTCCGTACATCCTCTTCCATGACACTAGCTAAGCTTTCCACGTACATATTCTCATAATCAATCAGCCATCAAGTACATACAAAAATCTTATTTCATAATTACAAGACAATAGAACGACAATTAAACAGACAATATAATGTGATACTTTAATAATTAAGGAAAGCGTAGTCAGGACATTTGTTTCAAACTAATCAACAAATAGAGATAAAATGGTTAAGTAAACTAATAAACGAGAAGACAATTAAGATTCATAAATTAAAGCATACGATGTAACAGTAAACAATTGAGGCAATATGGAAATAAATAGACAGTACAGATAAACTATATACTAACTAGTTACCGGTTCCATCATTGATCTGTACTTAATTAATAAAAGGTTGCCAATATTTACAAATTTCACCGTTTATCATTATTTAAACTTAATTAATAAAAGGATGAGGGATTCTTACTCCGGGTCGGTCGGTGTTTGAAACACTGCCTTTTTCACTACACTTCCCGGTGATTTCCTGATTGTTGAATTTTTTTTACGAAAATTGAAAACACGCGTCACATATCCCGAAATACCTAAAAAGGCCAAAAATAAGGGTTTTAAAATTTTTCGGATTGGTTTAGGGTTCCGGCATGGGGGCGCCGGCTCTGCCGCCTACTGCGGTGCTTCCTCTCGGTTAGGCCGGTTTCGGCCGGTCTTGTGCGAAAATCTGTAAAACTCGAGGTTAGTTAGTCTCTGTTGGCCGAAAAAGGAAAAAACCGAAGCATTACCGGCGGGGTGGTTTTTCGGTACAATTGCTCTGTCGTTCCTCTCTCGCGGCTGGAGGTTCTCTTTGGTCGTCCCGTACTAGAAAAGAGTCAGGAATCCAATGGTTGGAAAATGGAAGGAAACGGGAAGGGGATTCGGGCTCACCGGAGGGGTTTGGGGTCGCGGGTGCGGCGGCTCGGCCAAGCTCCGCCCTCGATTTCCGGCTTCTCTTTTGGTTTTTCGGCATTGATATGGGTTTGGAGAGGTTTAGAATTGAATTGCCAATCGAAAGGGGAGAGAAAAATCACATTCTAGCGTTGGCAAGGGTTCCGATGCGGCGTTGACGGTGGCCGGCTTTTCTTCCGGCCACCCTTCTTCTTCTTCTCCGACAGGGTGGTTGTTGCTAGGGTTAGAATTTTCTGTAGAAAAAGAGTTTAAATATTCATTTTCATTCAATCCGAGCCGTCTATTCGAGGAGACATGGCCTATTACCAATCGTTGGATCAACCCTATTTGAGGAGTGAATCTGAGCTGCACGATCAAATGTAATCAGGACCGTTCGATCGCGTCTGAATGGGAAACGAATCTAAACCATTCATGCACGCGGGAGTGAACCTAAGTCGTCGGATTGGTTAGTACACAGATTGCTTGCGTGGCTTCTCGCGTGGATGCGTATCCGTGTGTCTGCCACGCGGCGCATGGTGATTGATCGCACTGCTAATGTAGCGGTCCTATATGGCCTGTTTTCCGTTAGTTGTACTTTTGGCCAAATTTTTTAATTTTTCTTTTCAAATAAGTCTTTTACTATTTTTATTTTGACCATGATTTTTGAAAATTATTTTCAATTTGTCCAAAATATATATTTATTCTAAATTGTTAATAAAAATAAAAATTTAAAATATCTAAATTTATTTTTAATATAATTTTGATTATCCCAAGCCTAATTTCCGGCTCGAGTGCTATAAGCTAACCCATGCATCACCATTTTTCTCAATTTACTCAATCTTTTACCGGCTTTGACACTAATAATGTCTGCCAAACCTATGAAAATATGGTTTCTTTACAGATACAGGTTCTGCATTGTGTTGGCATCAGAATTTTATTTATCATCTTATTCTGAGTTGTTTGAAAAAAAATTAATTTTTGCGCTAAGTTAAAAATGATACATCCTCCAATAAATTTTATAAAATTTATAGACTAGGATGTACTTTGATTCAACTATCACGGTTACTCACTATCTTTCCCTGTTTCTGCTTTCTATTACAGATATCTGTGCAGATATTGCCCTGTCAAAGCATGAATATTGGTCGTCCTTGGCACCTCTTCCTTTTGAGGTTGTCATATCAGCTGGGCAAAAGGCAAAGGAGGAAAGTTGGGAAATAGGCAAGTAAATTAAGTAGAGACTATTACTTCAAAAAACAAATTAATTAGAGACTAGTTGGTCTTTCTGCTTTATAGCAAACCACCTTTTGCAAGGAAACATGCTGCTTTACTTGAATTTTCATGGTTGTATCTCTGCCTGGATGTGTCAATGAGCCATGCTGCTTGCATCACACAAGATGGTTGTGCTGTGGCACAAGTTGGGTGAAAGGTAGTGTGTTTTTAACTTCACCCAGTACCTATTTTTAAATAGAAGAAAAAATCTTTTCTATTTATAATTGCAATTTTTTTTAGAAAACTCTCAATAAAGCTCCTATCCTTTTCCACCTAATATGCAATCCCCATTTCATTTTTTTTCACAATTTTGAACTCTCTCAAATTGTCTCAGCATTTTCTCCAATTTCTTGAACTATCTTGTTTGATGCTTTAAATGTTATTTGTAATTTGTTAAATTCTCGAACATTCAAGTAATCAACAACTTTGAGTGCTTGGAACTTTCAAGCATCAAACTCAAGTTTATATATATTAAATAAAAAAATTGTTATAATTTTACTGAAATTGTTTTATGAATAAACATTTTATAACACTCTTTTTTATGTAAGTTGGAAAAAGAAAAACTTATGTTTATCTGCACTGGATCATATGTATGGCATGACTCAGCACCTGTGACGGCATGACCATGTAAGAACCTGTTAGTCAAACTGCCATCGAAAATCCCTTTTAGTTTTCAGAATGATGGGTAAAAATTGGTAAAGATTTGAAAAAGCATTTAAAAAGACTCTAGGCATGATTTAACATACAATACGAGCATGCATTTTTGACACCTCTAACTTTATCATTCTCATTATCCTATGATTTTTGTCTATCACTTTTCTAGCTTTGATATTTAAAAATTGAGCAGGTGATGATGACAATGAGAAAAGGAGCAAACTTATCCAGGATCTGAATGATATAAATGGAGATGGAAATATTGAAAGTATGCTTTCAGTTGAAATGGGTTTGAAGGAGCTTGCTTCCTTGAAGGTTCATTCGTCTGTTGCATTATTCATTTAATGATAACCTTTTTATCCTTTAAGGGCTCTTTCTCTCTTTATTGGTTATATTCAAGCTCTCACGCATGTGGACATACGCACATATGCATACACACATGTTTTAGCGCTTTGAAAGAATTAATATTTAATGTCTTATAGTTGCTTCTTTTAAGGTTGAGGATGCTATTGTGCTTGCATTGGCCCAACAGCGGCGGGCTAATTCTGCTCGAATATCCATCTCAGGTGTGCCTTTATCAGCAAGTGACATCCTGGGTTATTAGATGTCTGTCTCATTTGGTAGATTAGTTTAGTTATATTAGTTTTATATCACTTCCCCTCCCTGGAAGTCACGACTGATTGTCTTGTTTGAGATTAGATAGGATGACAGTCAATTGATGTCTGATATGTTCCTTAGCTTGATCTGGTACAGGACTTCAAATAGAAAAGTCAGAGAAAAGAAACACGGATCCTAAGATATTCTCTGCATGGAAACCTTTGGACTCATTAAGGAAAAATAAACATCTCATTTAACTAACAAAAGTATTTAAAACTTTATAGAAAAATTTGCCTACTTTTTTATTCTTTTAGAGCTGATTATGAATATACACATTTTAGGACACATAAAATGGTTCTTAGGAGTAGGTGACTTCCCGTAATAGAAGTAACCAGCATTTATATATAAGGAAAAGAATCAACTGCAGAAGATAAAGATAAAGGAACAAATTATAAACTTTTACACAATAAGCTATCAAGTCACTACCATGTGAAAGTCATAACTAAAATACTCTTGACTAAATATTGTCTTCAAGCTCTCTAATATCGTGTTCAAACCTTCTTTGTCCTACATCAATTTATCTTGAGTTTAGTCATTTCTGCTACAGGTGCACCTCCACTGCAATAGATGCATGCCCATGACTGGTAGGTGCAGGTCCATCACAAATGTGTATGCCTGTTGCACACAGCATGTTGCTTTTCCTTCTGATTTCACTTGTTACATCGTTTCTCTCACTTGTTTCATTTCCTTGGACTGTCTCCTCTATCAAGATGTGACACATTGTTGTCCTTCACTTCCTTGGACTGCCTCCATATCTGTGCCTCATGTTTTGTTGTATGGTGAATACTCACTGTTTATTGGTTCTACTGCTTTTCCAGATCTCAAATCACCTACTGATCCCAAGTTTATGGAGGCATTTGGTAAGTCATCAAAATTTGAATGAACGAATATGAATGTTGAAGAAATATGAGAAGCATGGCTCTTATTATTTTCCACTGCCAGTTTTCTTTGAAATTTCAATTCTGTCCGCATTACTAACTTCAAAGTCATACTATTCTCCAATTATCATGCTCTTTGCAATTGAATTGTTTATTATGAAGATCATAAGGGTAATATCTACTGCTATGTTCTTTGCAGAATTGAGTCTTGAGGAGTCTGAAGATGTTCTTTTCAAGGAGGTTGGAATTGCTTCCTTTTTTGCTATTTTTTTTTTATTTTGTTTACAAACCTCCCTTGTTTAAGGAGGTCTGATTTTTGAGTGAAGTTTGTCGTGGATGTTTAATAATTTTTAT